GCATGGCGAGCTAGAATCGTTGCAAGAGGGGGGAAGCTTCCTCCGACTGAAGGGAGCGCAGAACCCGGTGTAGGAGATGGTGCCTGCCCGAATAAAGGTGTCTGCCCGGAAAAAGGTGGATGCCTGGCGAATGCCGACTGCCCAGAAAATGGCGATTGCCTGGCAGAGGGTTGGTGGGAAGGCGGACTGTACAAAGTGCCATGAGCAGCGGAGAATGAAGCAGGGAGAGCAGCAGAGAGGGGGGCATGGCGAGCAGAGGAAAGATTAAAAGTTCTGGCAGCAGCAGCAGAAGAAGCAGAAGCTGCGGCGGCGGCATCACCAGAGACCAACGAAGGGAATCCATCTGAGTGGGGAAATCGGTCCCCTCCCCCTTCTCCCCTTTCTACTCTTCCGCTGCAGGGACCAATGCGAGTATGGTTCAGCGCACCGTTACTGCTCCCAACGGCGCCCAAAACACCGTCAAGAGCAGCACTTGCACCAGCGTTTAGGGCAGCAACGGTGAGTGCAATGTTGTCGTGTAGTTCAGGCCAGTCCCTGGGCTCTCCCAGGCCCAGGAACAGCCACTCGCATGCCGCTAGTGACAGGTGGCCGTACGTCATTGGTTCTGCCACCGCTGCCAGTGCTTGAGGTGGTGGTGATGCTGCTGCAGCTGCTGCTGCTTCAGGTGTTGCTTCAGGTGCTTCAGCAGATGCGCCTGCTCCTGCTGAGATTTCTGAATCCTTGTGGCCGCTCCGCTTGCTGACGCTCTCTGCCGCCCGCCCGCTTGTCGACGTGCCTTCCTTGTCTTGCATGGGACTTCCGGGCCTCTCTCCGGAGCAGCGTTTGTCCCTTCCCTCCTGCCAGCGCCGGTGAGCTTCGGTGAATTTTCTGCACGGTGGGGGGTTTTGACGGACAAGATGAGGCTCCAATATGGGTCTTGGAAGGGTCTGACAGGGGTTTAACGGAGGTTGGAGGTAGTTAGGCGAGTGGAAGGGCCGGAGCAGGAAGACGCAGAAATATAGGCGCGGCATGCAAGCTGTAGTAGAAGGCTTGAAGCTGAAGTGATGTGAATGTTTTTTCAAGTAGGCAGGATTGGAACAAGTCTTTGTGATGTGTTTGATTAGAGCGGAGGGGGGGAGAGAAACTTCTATGCGGAACGAGGGAACAGGGGAACAGGCGGCTGACTTTTTGAGGAAGAGGAAGCGGTTACAGCAGGACTTGTTGTCCCGGTGCGGCAGCAGAGAGCTCTTCTCGAGCGCGCCCCACTGCCGCGTGCCGTAGCGCAGCGCGTGGCGCAGTAGCGTTGCGTCCTCCTGAGAGAAAAGGGGGGAAGGGGAAGGGGATGACAGAGGGTCGTGAGGGGGGGCAGAGAAGAGCGAGGGGAGTGCGGCGGCAAGCAGCAGGGAGCATCTCTCGAGCTCGCCCCACTGCCTCGTGCCGTATCGCAGTGCATGGCGCAGTGGCGTCGCGTCCTCCTGAGGCGGAGCGGGATGGAGGGGAAGCGGGGAGGGGCCGGGAGAGAGGGTGGGGGGGACGAGAAGCGGGAGGAGGGAAAAGAAGGGGGGAGGGGGAGGTGAAGATGGGGAGGATGCGTAAGAGACAAGAGACAGCGGGGAATGCCGCAGCAGGCAGCACGTAAAGGAGCTCGGCCCGAGCTCGGTCCGGGGCGGAGGAGTGTGATGTCCGCAAAGTGTGATCTCCTTCTACATGCGAGTAGTAAATGAGTTGTGGAGGAAGGTGGGGGGGGAGAGAACGATAGTCCTAGGAAGAAATTCGGCAGTTTTTGCAAATCAAGGCGCCAGTGTCGATGAAGGGTAGCGGCAAATCAAGTCCCCGCCAAAGGCAGATCCCCACAATTACTCTCAGTAAGAGTCATCTGGGGGCAGAGTGGCAAGCAGCTGCTGCTCGGGATGTAAAGCGATGAAATGCGGTCTGGGGTATGTGAGAAATTAGACCGTTTTAGTGCGGTACTAAGAAGCAAAACTGTGCTAATATTTAGAGGGCTACCTGTTTGGACCACATTCTAGTTGCTTGCATGGAAGGATCTGCCGCTGCCGTGCCGCGAACATCGTCGTCTTCCACGCCGCGGATTATTACGGCCTTTCCGCCACGAACGGCACACATCAGGCTCCGTTTTCCCCGCTCGAAAACGTCAGAAACTTTGTGAGAAATATGGATAACTTATCCCGCGAAGGCTAAGCGTCTGCTTTCGTAGGCAAGAAGTGAGAGTCAGGTAACCTCGTGGTTGATTGATTCTGGATCTGAGCGCTCGTGGAAATAAAACTTCAAATGGAGGGCGAACAAGAAGGTCACTGAAGGTACGATTCTGATATGTGTGGAGCCGTGAGGGCAGCGCGATATCGTAGTGTAGTGGTTGTGTGTGATTCATCGTGCGTGCACCTTTACGTGTACAGCTTGTGAAGTCTTTTTTTACTGCCTGGATTTTTTGTTGAGGGAGCTTGGTCGGTCAGCAAGGTGCATTTGGACCACCAATGGCGGAAACTGTAGTGAGTGCTGTTTGGTTTTTCAATTCCTTCTCTTCCCATCCGTCCAACTTTCAATCGTCCAATGTGGTGCACTTGCAGGTCATGTTGTAGTACAGTACCAAATCCAATCATATTTGTAGATTTACAGCTCGCAGTAAGAACGCATTCTCTGTTCATGAGTCATCCTGAACCTTTCCGTAATTGATTTATCAACCCTAGATACGAGGGGCTACTACGTTTACTGTGAATCAGTCGACGTCGCAAAACCAACATTGTGGAGACACCGTAATGGGCCGAGTTTCATTGCAACTCAGTTTGGTTCCCCACTCTCAGAAGGATTTAAACTTCTGACCATCTAGAAGATATCTCGAAAACCCTTCGAGTTTCATATACAAAGAAAGTTGCCCAGAATGGTGAATTGATGTACACCTAGCCCGCGCTATCTTCACCGCCGGTATCTTTACCGCCTAGAGGTACTTTCTCTAGGTCAATCCGATTTATGAAGGTAGTTTTCTGGTTTAGAAGGGGTAGTGTTGTGTATCCCCTTCGACAGATGACGGAAATTAAAAGTTTGTGAACGCCAATTTCGCCCTTCTCTCGGATCACTAAGTAAGAGTTCTTTCGACTTGCAAACTGGCTGTAAACTGTTAGCCCCGGAGTCTCTGTGTGCCCGTCTCATTACCCGAAAACGCAAAAGGAGTGCCTGTAAAAAATGTGTTTGGGCGGTGAAGATAGCGCGAGCTAGGTGTAGGGTGCCATGAGATCGCTTCTGTTTGACCAGACACTGTAGATACTCTAGATGAGACCAACTGTACCAGGCAAGACAGGCCTCATTTGTGCCAAGACCGTAAGAAGAAACATGTTTTTTCAACCAAGTATGGTATGTTTTTTGTTTCTTCGTTCAATTGTGTATCTCTACATTTTCCATGCTCTATTCAAATGTGGCTTTCCATGTACCTTTCGAAACCCTGTGTGGTTGAGCCTCTCGTTGTACCTTTACAACACGTGTCTCTTCGCGAGCTCAAAAAGAAACTGCAACAACTGGTTCTCGAAATGTTTCGAATTGCCCACGAAATTCTTGAAAGGTCGTCATTAGGTGGGTCGTGCGCTGGCACACACCGGATTCTTGCGCAGCTCCCATCACACCACTTGCGGTACGCCTTTATGATTGCTAGCAACCTGCAATTCAGGACGGCGCGTGATTCACAACTGTCGGTCCCAAGGCCTCATTGATTTATCGCTGTTCACGACTCACCAGGAGTACAGTACACAAACGTTGCACTTCTGGGGCAGCCCGCAGGTGTATTCGAGCAACAGAGCCGAAAAGGGTGGATTGTGCTGTAAACTCACACACCTCCAGGACAGTGTGGTGGGAGAACGCGGCTTTTACTTAGGTAAAAGTACTGAACCTCTCGTGCATGGGTGGCAAGAATTGTGGGAATGCACTCTGCTCAGCTTGCACCAACCGAGCGAGATGGGTGGCAAATGCATGCGCAAGCTGGCCTCGAAGGTGGTTCTGCATAGGGCCCGTGTGACGCTAGTGATGGTGAAGTATGCCCCGATAGACCGCTGGCTCCATGTTTCTGGAAGCTTTGGAATACTTTCAACTTGCTGATTCGTGCTCAACTGGGTGAATTCACGTGTCGTGCCTCGCATGCCGAAGCGGTGTATTCTGTAAATTGTTTACTGATTGTAGGGCTGCTTGTCATCAAGGAAGGGAAACTCAAGTCTCAAGTCTCCATATATTTCAACTAAGGCTTCGGCATATGCTTGGCCAAAACCGAACACTCGAATATCTTCTGTTGCCTGCCCTCAATCACGTCGGGAAAACTGGGTTACTGTACTTGTGTGGCGACATTGCATAAGTGTTGTCCATTGGTTCCCTAATCTTGGGAGAATCAACGCAAACGCCATGATAAATCTGATTCTCACAAGACAATAATCATGATCTCTAAATTGCCGCCTATGAGAAGTCTGTTAGGCTCCACAACGCGCTTTCTTCTCATTGGTTATTGGTTATGGTTGAAGGTAATTTAGTGACGTGTGAATGTTCTGCATTCAATGCACCTGAAGTTTTATAACGTGCACACGACGAGCACTGAATACTACAGAATGTGCAAACAACATACAACAACTCTGCTAAAGTTCATGGATAACAAATAAAGATACAGCATTGGTGATAAAAAAGAGGCAACGATTTGCCATGTTGTCCAGAAATTATGGGCTGTGATTCACTGGAAGACCAACAATCTGACAATTCCAAACTATATCCTACTGTCGCTCCACATAATGAAAAACTACGATGTAATTTTCCCTTTCCAGGCAAGACAGACCATACTAAGGGGGGGGGGGGGGGGGGGGGGGGGGGGGGGGGGGGGGGGGGCGCTTATTTCTGCTAGTTCAGTATCCTGACTCTGCTGAGGGTGATCCGAGAGGATAAAAACATTCACTGTTATGTCAAAAGCATATGACTGGGTCAAGTGAACAACGATGAAAGAAGAACACACACGAGTACACACGCACGCTGTGATTCTTCTACAGCACAAGGCGGTCACGCGCATAAATACAATTCGGCGAGGTAATATGAGGATTGGCCCTCAAAATATCCGCAACAGTACACCCCTCTCTCACTGCAATCCCAGAAAGGGTCTCTCCTGGCTGCACCTCATGCACACGGCCTCCAGCCCTCCCGATAGAGCCACCACCACCCACACCCCGCCCTGCACCCTTAGCTGCACCCTTTCCTGCAGCCTTTGCTGCATCCGTGGCTGAGGCTGATTGGCCTCCATTGCCGCTGGTCCTAGGCACACCTCTCAAGGGAGTGTGCATCGACTCACCAGCCCGGGGCGTATGTGTTGATCCACCAGCCAGCAGCGTTTGGATCGACTCTCCTGCAAGCTCTTCGGATATTCTGAAAGCCGCTCGCCTCTGCCCTGCTGCTGTGCCTCCTGGCATGCCTCCAACCCTGCCCCCTCCTGCTGCTGCAGCCGCCCCTGGAGCAGCAACGGCTGACCTTGCAGCGCCCCTGCTGCTGCTGCTGCTGCTGCTGCTGTCCCTAATGCTGCTGCTGGCCTTCTCCTGGGTTGCTCTCCTTACAAGAAGACCCGGTACAAACTGCTGCTGAGACTCTTCCCTGGGAGGGCTTGAGAATCGGTGCGTACCACTGCTGCTGCTGCCACTGCTATTGCCACTGCCGTTTTCTCTGCCACTGCCATTACTATAGCCTCTGCTCGATCCCTTCCCGCTGCTGCTGCTGCCTCGCTCACATGCCCCATTGCTGCTCAACCTGCTGTTGCTGCTTCTGCTCATATTCGCTCGTGTGCCATTCGCACCACTCACACTGCTGTAGCTGCTGCTGCTGGCTCCCCCCCGAGTGCCATTCACGCCAGCTGCATTGCTGCTGCTGCGCTCACAGGAACCTTTCCGCCCCTGGAGCGGGTCGATGGTCAAGTGTGCCTCATCAAACGGTGCCCATTTGTCAAACTCGCCAGTGCCTGCAACTCCCCCCGTCGAGGTCTTTCCCTTAGCACTGGCTTCAGGCAAGGAGCATGACCCTCTGCCTGCCCCTGCTGCCCCTGCTGCCGCTGCTGTCCCAGCTGCCCTTGCTGTCCGGCCTGCAGTCCCTCGGCTTGCTGCTTCTCTCACTGCTGCTGATCCTGCTGCTGTTGCTGGCGCTGGCATCGCTGCGTGAGCCGAACCAGGTGCTGTGATTACTGCACCGCTCTTAACCGGGGCGGGTTTGCTGGTGACTGCAGCAATGAAGGACATCATCTCCTCCTCATCGTCATCGTTGTCCCCGTACTCGTTATAGGCAGGCCCCAGACAGCGTAGAAACTCCTCCTCCACCTCCACCGCCTCCTTCTCAAGCTCCTTGAACCTGAAGCCACGGAATTGGGGGGGAAAGTTTCCCAAGGATAAGAAAAAAGACCAAGCAGGGTGAATTCTCACTTTTGACTTTTGAGTCGACTCAAAACGCCTCCTCCACCTCCACTGCCTCCCTCTCAAGGTCCGAGAACCTGACGTTGGGGAATTGGGGAGCAATGTCCCAAGGGTGAAAACAAAATGACTTTTGAGTCGACTCAAAAGTCACCTCGAATTGGGGAGCAATGTCCCAAGGGTGACAACAGAATCTAGCAAGTCTTTTTCTCACTCTTAGCAGAGAAGAAAAATAATACAGCAGGCTACCTTATATTCTTGCAAGGAAGTTGTAAATCTGAACTGTAGAAATTCAAGAGGCTCCTTACTCTGCTCAGCACTGCCCAGCACCACTTTACCTCTCATCAAACTCCTTCTCACTGAGCTTTGCGCCAGTGGGCATAGAAGCCAGCCAGTGGGAAAACCCTCCCTCAGACTCCACCTTCCCAACTGCTGCCTCCAAACCCGCTTCAGCTGAGCCCTTCCCCTTGCCTAGGGTGCCTCTGCTCCGTGAGTCACTGCTCCTCCTCCTCGGATTCTCACTCTCCCAATCGCTGCTCGCTCCGGTCGATCTCAGCCGTTGATGTCGCTGCGCTGCCATCACCACTGCTCCCCCCACCAGCACTGCCGCACCAGCTGCTGCCAACAGCTGCCATTTCCGTGCCCCCAACCCCCTCCCCTGCTGCCCCTCCTGCTGCTGCTCTAATAAACCTAACTCCTCTCGCTGTCCCATCCGCCCCCTTCCGCCCCTCCCCATTGTGCTTGTGTCAGGGATGGACTCCGGTTCGGATGGGTGGAAAGCGGTGGGAGGGGAGATGGAGCGCAGAGGGGAGGTGTGGGCACGGGGGGGTGTTGGCTGCCTGGGTGTGACTGTTGCAGGTGGGGCCTGTGTGGTTGGGAAGTTGAGGGATCAAGATGGGGGAAGCAGGTGAAGGGGAGAGGGCGGGGAAGAGATGTGACAGCGAGAGGGGAGAAGAGGAGACAAGTTATAGACTTCAATGTGCATCTCAAACCCTTAGTACCACACCAAAGACATGCCTGTGCATCGCATGACATGCCCTTAAACTACATGAGAGACATGCCCGTGCATCACATAAGCTTTGCACCGCAGTGCATCGCATCACATACCCTTTGCACCGCAGTGCACCGCATCACATACCCTTTGCACCGCAGTGACCGATGCCGACCTCCTCCTCCCTCTTACAGCCTCTGCAGGCCCTCCCCCCTCCCTCACCACCCACGGGGGCACCCGAGCCGGGGATCGCGACCGAACCACCGCCTGCTGCTCCGGGCCGAGCCAAGTCGGCAGGTTTGGCAAATAATCACCCCTGAGTGACCTCGGAACACCAACAGGAGCACCAGCAGTAGCAACCCCAGCACCAGCGGCACCAGCAGCACCAGCTGCTGCAGCACCGCTAGAAGCTTGCCAGGCAGCGACAGAGGAGGAGTGGGAGAAGCGGCGAGACGGGCTGCATGGGCGAGGATAGGCGGGTGCCCACCACCGCGGAATGCTGCGATCCGCTGCTGCTCCCTGCCCGGCTGTAGCGGCTGCAGCAGCTGCAGCGGCTGTAGAGGCAGTGGCACTAGTAACAGTGGCGGCACTAGAAGCAGCGGCAGCACTAGTGGCACTGGCAGTGGCAAGTGTGAGGGACGAGGCAGCACTGGTGGGAGTGGTGAAGGAGCGAGAGGAATTGAGGGAAGATGCGAGGGAGGATGCGGAGGGGAAGGGGGAGAGGGGAAGGAGTTGGTCCGGTTCGGGTAGGATAGAGGGGCTTGGGGAATCAGAAGCTGGGGAGACGGAGGGGGTGGGGGAAAGCGAGGGGGAGGGGGAGGCGGAGGGGGGAGCGGAGCAGAGGGAGGGAGATGGGGGGGAGGGAAGGACCTCACTTGAAGGATTGCCAAACGTGGCTGGGGAGCGAGAGGAAGCAGCAGGGGCAGCGGCAGGGGCAGTGGCAGGGGCAGTGGCAGGGGCAGTGGCAGGGGCAGTGGCAGGGGCAGCGGCAGGGGCAGCGGCAGTAGCAGCAGCAGCAGGGGCAGTGGCAGGAGGAGGGAGGTGAAGGGAGGAGTTGGAAGCGGTGAGAGGGGCAGAAACCCGTGGGGAGGGTGGTGCTGGTGGTGGTGGGGAGATGGGAACCAGGGAGGGTAGACTTGGTGACGGTGGGACTGGCTTAGGAGGCGGTTCTGCTGGGGAGGGTGCAACTGGGAGGGGTACGCCAGGGGAGGGTACAACTGAAGGGGGTGCAGCAGATACGGTAGTAGATTGGGAAACAAAGGCAGCTTGGGAGGGCAGAGCTGGGGCGGGTAGATCAGGGGGAGGAGCAGCTGGGGGGGGCGGTACGGCAGGGGAGGGCAGAGCAGGGGGCGGCGGGGCAGGGGAGGAAAGTGCTGGGGGCGGTGGGGCAGGGGAGGGCAGAGCAGGGGGCGGTGGAGCAGGGGAGGAAAGTGCTGGGGGCGGTGGGGCAGGGGAGGGCAGAGCTGGGGGCGGTGCAGCTGGGGCTGGCTTGGAGTGAGAGGCGGAGGAGGAGAGGGAGGGAGAGGGGGAGAAGGCGGTGGTGGTGTGTCGGATAGTTTTGGATACAGACGACATGAGCCGGTGGCGTGTTGCTGACGTGGCAGTCACCATGCTGCCCTCAAAATCCTGGATAGGGTCCGAAAGGTGAAGGATGAAAACATTTTGAGAAATCTTAACTGGCTCCCCTCCCCGATAAGGGCAGGGGAGAGATAACTGGAGAGTTGACTCAAAAGGTCACACAGTGACCATGCAGCTCTTAAAGCCCTTGATAGGGTTCCCAAGAGAAGGGAAGAACAAAAGGCGAGGAGAGGTGTGATAACCAAGGGAGCAATAATATAGGGTGTGACAATACAGGGGATGTGCAATGGAGAAAGAACAGGAAGAACAGGAGCAGGAGGGCCATGTAACATTGGGGTGAGGTAAAAAGACAAAACAAATGGATATCTCATCCGCTTTGCTCTTACTTTGCTGGGTTCCCTAACCTTGCACTGTCTCCAATAATTTGACCTGTTTTGACTCATTTAACTTCGTGACGCATATGACCCGCGTTGACTCGGCTGACCCACCTTGATTCCGATGGTGCGCTTGCTGAGTGTGCGCAGGCACAGATACACCCGCCTCAGATCCCGCCTCTCCACCAGATCAGGTGGGGTAAACACATTAACGTCGTACAGCCCTATGCCGCGACAGATCTGCATAGCACAGGGGGAAAAGGGGGGAGGGGGAGATGGGGGGGGAGGGAGTGAGGGGGGTGAGGGAGTGGGATGATACATCAGGAGGGGTGAATACTTTCACGTCGTACAGCCCTATGCCGCGACAGATCTGCCCCGCACAAAGGGGAGAGGGGGTGAGGGGCGGGGGGGTGGAAGTGAGAGAGTAAGGGGGGTGTGGGAGGGCAAGAGGGGAGAAGAGCGGGGAAAGGGTGAAGACGTTCACGTCATACAGTCCTATGCTGCGACAGATCTGCCCCGCACAGGGGGGACGGGGGAGGAAGGTGGAGGAGTGGGGTGTGGGAGAGATGGGGAAGGGGGGTGTGGGAGAGAGGGGGGAGCGGCGGGGTTTGGGGGGGAATTAAGTGAGGCAGTGGGCGGAGGGAGTGGAGGGTTGAGGTGACTTTTGAGTTGACTCAAAAGTCGCGGGGTTTGGGGAGGAATTAAGTGAGGCAGTGGGCGGAGGGAGTGGAGGGTTGACCTCAATGGCACAGATTTGCGCAGGGAGTGGGGAACGGGAAGAAGTGCGGGGAGGGCGGGGAAGCGGGAGAGGGGGAGGGGAGGGTTGTGGAGGAATGGGGGAGGGTGGGGGAGGGAAAAGAGAGAACGCTCTTTCCTTGTGCGATCTGCATTGCCACAGTTGAGAGCGCTCATTCAGCATTCAATGCATTCCCCACTCTCTCAAACCAAACCCACTCTCCCGCCCGCCCCCATTCTCCCCTCGCTTGCCCCCATAACTTTCCCCGTCTTCCCATCCCTCCCACCCCTTTCCTCCCCCCACCCAAACCACCCCCTCTCCCTCCCGCCCCCCGTTATAATCACCTTGAGGAACATTTCCACCTTCACACACGCGCGCCAGAACGCCATGTTCCGCCCCACTTCCGCGGACGGCGCTTCCCCCTCCCCCTGCTCCGCCTCCCCTTCCCCCTCGTCCCCCACCTCCCAATCCTCCCCTTCCTTCGACCCCGCCCTGCTTCCGCTCTTTCCCCCGCCCCATCGCGCAAAAGAGCCCGCCCCCTTCCCCCCAAGCGCCCCTCCCCCCTCTCCGCCTCCCCCTGCCTTCCCCATAACCAGCCATCCCCTGGCTGCGCGCTGAGCCGCCCGCCCCACCTCCACACTGGGGAAACGGGGGGTGGTGAGGGGGATGGGGAAATGACAAGTCGGGGACGGTGAGGAGTGGGGGAAGGAGGAGGGAGCGGGGGAAGAGACGGGGGGGGTTGGAAAGGGGAAGGTTTTAGCAAAAGAAGGGTGGGATTTGGTGGTTTGAAGGGAAAGGCAGAAGGGGCAGGCGGTGACGTGTTGAGAGATTCAGAAAGGAGAGCCAAAATAGCAGCGGGCGGAATGAACGTGTGAGCGGGCGGAATGGAAGTGTGAGCGGGCGGAATGGAAGTGTGAGCGGGCGGAATGGAAGTGTGAGGGGGCGGGAAAGGAGGCGTCGGGGACGGGTGGAGAGGGGATTGGGAGGGGGAGTGGTTAGTGGGCGGAGAACGGGGAAGGAGAGCTCATGAGAAAATACTGACGGTACGGAAAGCAGCAGCGAGGTTGATGCTAAAACTTCGGGATTTTACCGCGAGACTTGCGCAATATAAGTAAGCTTCAAGAACGTGAGCAAGCCTCACAGCGCGGTCGCCTTGCACACTACGAATACCCAGCAACGCACTGAGTCAACTGAACGCGCACCGGAATAGGAGCAGGACTCACAGCGTCTGCCCGTCCTCAAGGATATCGGGGAGAGAGCGGTCCGCCGGAAGCTGCCGACCCAAGCATCGCTCGATCCACGCCCGAGCCTGCGACTGAGGTACGGGAGCAACGCAGCGGGGGAAGCAGGGAAAAAATACGACTTAGCAGTTTCCGCAGAAACCGAAGGATGGATGGAGGAGGGACGAGGTTGCATGAAAAAGGGGAGGGGACAAGTACAAAGCCAGGAAGGGGCAAAAAACAAAAGGAAACAAAGGCCTGGAGGGGAAAAATGGCGGAACGGAAAGTGTAACCACTAGAAGAGCGCCACGTGGCTGCGGTACCTCGAGAACAGTAACGTCCTCCTCTGCAGTCAAGCCGCCGCCCGAAGCGCTGCTCGCTGACGAGCCGACACCAGCGTTGCTTGCGGCGAGCATCGCGGCGCGAGACGGCGACCCGGCAGCGCCACTTTGTGCTGCCTCGGATGCCACCATGATGTGCGTTATGCCCGTTGCAGGGTGTTTTTTGAGTATTCTCAGAAACAAACGGGCAGAGCCGCTTTGTGCTGCCTCTGATGCCACGATGATCCGCGTGACCCTTGACGTACGCTTATTTTTAGCCTGCTACCCTTGATACGCTTGCCATTAGGCTTTCATATAGGCTTGTTAGTTTCTTACTAAACCTTCATGTAGGCTCGTTCATTAGGCTTGTCACTAGGCTTCTATGTCGACTTGTTTGCACGTATTCTGCGATCGGGCGTTAGGCTTTGGTCCTCCTAAGAACAAACGGTTCCGAACGTCGCTACTATTTTAACGTACTGGGGTTCGCGCGAGCTGCTCGCGGCTCGACTTGTCCAAAGACGAAACGGTGCAGCTTACAGTATGTCACAATCGTGTCACTTGAAACTACGCTTTCTTCCGACTCATGGATTACGTCGCTAAATAAATAATGCTACTTTTGGTCGCCGCCTCCAATCTTACTAATGCGGCGAACCCCCACTAATGCGGCTTCCTACGAGAAGAAACAGTGTCCTACGTAACAAGCAGCACAGTGGCAAGTATAGATTATAGAGTTATAAAAGGCGAGCACAGCACAGTGCAGTTTAGGGCTGTCGGGACTCGGGAGCGGAAGCGGAGTTGGAGATCTACGGTGAAAATTGTCGCTAAGCACAGCGGCGCGGGATGAAACCCTCGGGTGGTTCAGCGTGGCCCACGGCGCACAATGGGGCTCTGCAGCTGCGCTTTCACTAGCGAGAGTCGCGGCGGCGGCTTACGTGGTGGGGAACGATAACCTGACCCCGCTCAAGCGCGGACCAATGCTGACTAACAAGGGCGGAAGAGGGGAAACGAACAATCGCGGGTACATTACGGTTCCGTAAGTTCCTTTGCGTTATAGAACGTTTGCTAACTCAATTAGCACTGATCAGGGATTTAGGGAAACGTTGGATTCAGTCCATGTTGAACTCGCAGGGGGGATTTCGCCCCTCGCAAATTGATTGCCAAAGCATCGACCAGCAGTTGTGGCGGGGTGCGAAAGCAAACTGGGGGAACGAGCGGAACGAAGGGAACCACAAGGGGGAGTCAGACGGAAATTGGCGCGAAGTTCTGCGCGATCCGCCACTTTGTTGGGTGCGACAGCTGGCAGGAAAAGGGAAGAAATGAAAGTGTAGCCATAGGCTATGATAATCAGGCAGGCATGTCAGCTTGATCTCCTTGTACAATGTAGATTAAGGTTCCACAAGAAAAATTATTACCGTACCAAGACATACATGCTTCATATGGAAAACAACAGTTTATAAAACCAAGAAGCACTGCCCGCCAATCTGAAGCCGAAATTGGGCAACTGGGAGGATGCGCTGACTACACCATGATCAGCTATATACCACATGCACCAGCCTAATTCTGCAATCTCTCCTTTCTAGCTGCAGCAGCAGCACGCCTGGAAGCCACATTTTGCACCGCCCCTGCAACCACCAGCTTCATCAGCACCCCTGCCTCCACTCCACAGATGAAAGCCAAAGCAGTTGTCGCCACCACCCATCCCACCCTCACCGCTCCCGCCTTCCCTCTCCTCTCCTCTCCCCTAGCATCACCCCCCATAACCGGGCCACTCCTCACTGTCACCTCGCTCCCCCGATCACAAGAATCGCTCCTTTCCTGCTGGGCCGATCCAGACCGTCGCCTTCCTCTGCAGTCTCCAGATCCAACAGTTGAGCCCTGACCTGGCGACCGAGCACCAACATTGCCTGAACCACTTGCAACTACGACTTGGCTGCTGCCTGCCCTGCCACTACTACCTTGTCCCTCCCCCTCTGCGGCTTCATCCACAACCCTCCTTCCCTTATCCCTCTCCTCCTCTTCCTCCTTCCTCTCATCCTCCTCCACCCCTCCCCTCCTCCTCGCCTCCCCAGCCATCGCCAAATCCGAAAAGCTCACCCATTTCCTCATCCCCATCCCACCCTTCTTCAAACCTCCCTTCCTCCTCACCGCATTACTCCCCTCCCCCGCACCTCCATCCCCATCCTCCTCCCCATCCGGGCTACTCCCAGGCGACGGCACAATCGGCGTGTGCAGATTCGCCAGCGAAACACACCGGCTGAGCGGCCGTGCCGCCTCTGCACGCTGCTTCTCATACTTCCTGATCGCCGGCTCCATTTTCCTCACAGCGCTCCACATGCCCTGCCGCACGCCCAGCTTCGCTATATCCCTCTGCAGCCCCATCTCCTCGTGGTGAAACAGCATGACTTCCGCTGCATTGCTGCCCTCGGCGCCAATCACGGGGCGGATGCGCCAGCTGGAGTAGAAGACTTCGACGCGGCGGGGTTTGTCGCACTTGGGGACCTCGGGGTGGTGCACGCCCTTGGTGATGCAGTAAAATGTGTCGTCGTGCGACCAGATGCGCCGCGCTATCACGTACTCCCGGTCCTTGCAGAAAAACGGAAACTGCAATACGGGAGGTATGGGGCAGAAATGAGACAGTTTTGAGACGGGTGGAACAGGGGTGGGACAGGAGTGGATGAAGAGCAACGAGATCGGCACGGGAGTGGGAACGAGTGAAAGGAAGAGAGGAAGCCCTGGGCAGCAACGAAGCGGGTCAGTAGAAATCACCTTCCCTCACCCTTTCTCAACACACCCATCACTCCAGACCCTTCTTCATACAAAGACAACACAGCAACTCACCTTGCGGACCCAGTGGACGATCTGGAAGCCGGTGCGCTCGCAGGCGGTGATGGTGCGCGCCTGCACGAGCATGTCGTCCCACGCCGCGCGGAACTCGTCGTCCCAAAAGAAGTCGCGCATGAGCGCCGACGAGCACCGCTCCATGACTGTGCGACTGCGGTACTCTGTGGGCCCTTGCTGTTGGGGGAAGACGGAAGGGGACGATGGCGAAAGAAATGGGGAGGGGAGCATAACGTGAGACCTTGCTGTTGGGGGGACAGACAGGGGCCGAAGGCGGAAAAGAAAGTCGCGAGGGGGAGTTAAAAATCCGCGCATGAGTGCGGATGAGCACAAGACCGCGCGACATGATCTTTCGAAGAATAAATCGGCTGAGCTTTGCTCTTCGGATCCCCGAGAATAAATCTGCTGAGCTTTGGAAGGGGCGCGAGGGCGCAACATCACATCTCCGTCAAAACTACAACACAATTATAAGCAGCGGACCTCGGGGTCCCGTCGCCAGCCCGTGTACTGCATGCCCTTGGCGGTCTTCTCCATCATCAGCTGCCACTCCGGCCCGCCGTCCTTCCCCTCCACCTTGGCGCAAAACTCCTCCAAGTCATCCTCGGTAAGAACCAACTCCATATCCTCTTCCGACACGCTATGCGCGGCGCCGTGCCCGTTGGCGTGCCCATGCACGTTACGGCCGACCTCTAGCAGCTGAAGGTTTCCTGTTTGCAACGATGGCGGGCGCGAGCCCTTGCTCCGCGACTGCGCAGACGGCCTGCGAAGGTCAGGGAAAAACAAGGTGATGCAAAGAGAGAGGTTAGGATACGTCGGCGGACGGACTTGTCGGAACAAAGGCAGACGGAATTGCGAAAGACGAGGAGAGGATGGAACCAGACGAAATTGTAACAGAACGAAAGCGAGTCGTGCGAGAGGCAAAAGGATGGAAACGTGAACGAGTTGAGCGGGGGAAAAAACGTACTCGTCAGTCACAGCTTCCTTGCTGACAGCCTCGCCGTTCACTTGACGCTCCCGTCTGCCATCCGCAGCGCCGCTCGCGGAATGAACTACACGGTTACCGTTACGACGTTCGCCAACCTCCTCCGCATCTTCCGGCCTCCTAGCTTCAACACCATCGCTCCCCAGAGCAGCTAATTTCGATTTCCCAGAGCCACCCACCCTCTCAGCCGCCCGCCAAGGCAGCACCTTCTCGCCCAGGGAGTTCCAATCTCTTCCAAAAAGCACCCCTATCGCTTGAAACCCAGACTCCCTAGCCCCCTCAACTCCCTCCTTGACTCCCGCTGCCGAGAATCCCGAAACCTGCGCTTGACTGCACGAGTCCAGTACAGCCTGGCCCCATGACCACCCCGCAGACCACGCCTCCTTGAACGGCCCGCCGGTGAGGAGTGACCAGAAGGCGGAGGAACGCGGGTCGGACGCGAGGGAGTTGACCCACTGCGGCCGCCATGACCACCCGAGGATGAGGCCGACTACGACGGCGAGCCAGAGCGGCGCGACGACGGAGAGGATCTCGAGCATGAGCTCGGAGAGGCTAGTATGGCTCGCGCCGCTTTTGAGGATCTGGACGAGACGACTGCTGCTGCTGCTGCCAATCACGGGAGTGGCCATGCGCGACGAGGAGAACGAGTAGGATAAAGTCCTAATTTAAGTTCCCTGTGATGTCGTTGGTTGAACGGTAGCCGAATTGGCAAACGAGTTGGTTTGGCGAGCAGCCAAGCAGTTGTCTCAGAACGAGAGAAAAGAACGTCTTTGGTAATCCGTGGTCGAAGATATACGTGCATCAAGACAATTCTCCTGCCAACCCCAGTCTCAATCAACCTAGAAGCACGTGGTCCCGTCAGAGCAAGGCACGCAGAGAAAATCCTTCTGCTTGCGTGGTGTCGTGTGCTGCCGATTCCCTTCCTGTGTCGTGTCACGCTGGCTGGGCTAATGGTGGAAATGAAAAGAAGTGGACTTCCTTGCAGCGCACACGAATAACCCCGTCAGCGGATCAACAGACAGCCATGGAAAACGTTCACTAGGAGTCAGCACCCATCAGAAACAGTCATCACACGCGGAAAGAAGCGACGCAATAATCACATTTGCGTCCCTAGGAGAGAGCTTCTATGCAAGCTTAGTGAGGTTGAAGAATCAGGGAGAAAAGCGTGGCAACGAATTTTCTGGAGGGCAGCTTGGACGGAAGGGAGTGGAGGACCAAAACGAAGTTTGAACCGTTGGCTGGATGAGTGTAGGACCAAAACGAAGTATGATGCGGTAAAGTGTACAGTACGCAATTCATGCTTCGAGTTGCCACGCTGGATGATAATGTGCAG